GTGGTACAAGGAGGCGGAAAAAGCGCACAAGTGAGGTGGTTGGTATTGGGGGGGGCGGCGCCAGACACCCGATCGGGCAGAATCGCGGACAGGAGAGCACCAAGCCCTTATACAAGAAAAAGAAACCCAAGGACAAGAAAACGGGAAAAAAATAACAGATTAAGAATAGAAAAGGGGAATCTAAGAAATGTGGATCTCACAGTGGGAAGAGGAGGACGGAATCAGTGAAAGAGAGCCGGGGGGGACGTACAGCGACAGGCGCTGCGCTCTGCGGGAGAATCGCTTGTTCGGAGCGGATCAACCTAGTCGGAGGTCGGGGCTGGGGATGGCGCTGTCAAGCGTATTTCTGGGAATGCACCGATCTGATAACCATTGAATTTGCGGTCTGCACCAAAAGAGAAACAGTAGGTAAAGAATTAGCGAAAAAGAAATGAAATATATATGTGGAAATATGGGGTGTGGTTTGAACAGATAGAAAAAAATTAAAGGGAAGGGAAGTCAGAAGGGTGATATGATACCTGATGGGCCCTACGATGGATCCCAGCGGGAGTCTAAAAAAGTAAGGGTAAGCCACTATTTCACGACAACCACGAAGGTTGAATATACCGAAGAGCTCGTGATCTAGGAGAATTGAACAAATTGAGAGAAGTATCAATGTGGAAAAGTTTTGCTTGAGTTGAGGTTGAGAAAAAGATGGAAAGGAGGGAAATTCGATCTGTAAAGAGTTGAGGGGCGGCGGAGATAGTGGTACAGAACGGGTATGACCTTCTGTTTGTGACATACAGTACTTCACAAATACACTAACTCGGATGTTCCGTTGACCGCTGTTCGGGTGCTTTGGAATTAAATGTACTTGACCGAACTGCAGGTTTACCTTACAATACATGTTTGGTTATGACCATACAGATCAAGCTCCTGGGCGGCAGATTCGCCGATCTACACGTATAAAAAAGGAAAGGGAGATCATGCAATTTCCATGGACTGATCTTAACTTGATGCCCTAATTTCCATCTTTTATAGATCGGATGAATTCTTATTGACTCCTTATGCCAGTGATAAATCGCGTGGTTTAGGATATATCACAAAAGCCTAATTTGATAAAAAGACAGGTGTACAAATAGAGTGATTATCGGAATAATGCCAAGGGCAATCCATCCCCTTAAAAAAAAAAGAAACCAATAAGAAAACCCCAGAACGCCCATTCTTCAAATGTAAATGCACAAGATCTCGGGTCCTTACTCTTCCTCCGGTGGCATCTCATCCTCAATGTATCGTACGAGGGAAACCCTCATTTCCGTGGTATCATCTCCACGAAGCACATCACTGACAAAGTGTGCCTCGATCTGCATTTGAACCTGAAAATCTAGGTCAGTCATCGGTGCCAGAATAAGGAAACCCAATCGGATTGGGGTACTAGTAACTTACCATCTCCAGGGACCCTCGGAGGACGCCACACAGAATATTGGAGAACCATAGTTCGTCTTGAGCACGTCCATCGTCGGGAAGTTCCACAAAGTCCGCCAAGGGGTTGTCTTCAAAGATAAGGGAGAATTGGGTGTTGTCACTCGTCCAGTTTGTGACTGTAGGTGTGACGTTCAGGAAGATCTTGAAGCCAACCTGCTCGGATTGTCAGTCGTCATAGCTTTATTATCTCCATGTCCTAAGTGACACCCACCTTCGCGATCATATCAGCTGTCTCCCGGAAGTTGGCGCATCGGCCAACGCCTGACTTGGCCAGGAAGTCTTCAATGAGTCGCATTCCGATATTGTACCCCATCTTGTCCAACTGCTTGTTGACATCTTGGTAGTTACTATCATAGTCTTGACATAATTGTGCAACAATTGTTCCGTAGGTTAATGTGACCAGCTCCGCGTTGACTTTATCGACTCTTGTTCTGCGCACGTGAATATAGTCGATTAGTTCGAGTTCGAGGATGGAGACGCAGCGAGATAAATTGGTCATCGCGTCTCGATCCCAGTAGATGGGCACTGGGGCTTACTGACTTCCATATTCTGTTCGAGGCTATTGATTAGTAGAAGATCCACTGGATAAGGCATCCAACCTTGAGTTCACCTACTCTTCCCCTATTCTTGAGGTTTTAGTTGATGACATCTTTGGGATTATGCTCCGATAGATTTGGTTGTTGGTAAAATGGGAGAATGAATATTGTCCAGACAAGCACAGGTAAATGGGACAGTCAACTGTTGATCAGGGTGATTGTGGGGAGTCCGTGATTATTGGAGCTGCTGATTGTACAGTCATACGGGCGGCGAAAGCGACCATTGCAGACTTTTATTTGATTGGTTGTCTCTCCTCGCCGTCTTCTTTTCCGCCTTTTCATCAATATGTGTAAATGTGTATAAAAGCTTCCCTCTACAGATTGCTCCCTCTTATAACTCTCATCTTTCTACATCCCTGTATACTTGAAAAGCTATGCAGATGAATTTGTGTCATTTCACTCTATTTTATAAAAGAAAGTATCTATCATATGGAAGTTGGTGAGTGGGGTAAATGACCATGTTATTTTCTGCCAGATAAAAATAATCCTGATCAAGTCTCGATGGTCGCTTTCGACAACCGTTCATAGTCCACTCACCGCCGAGCCTGAGCCTAGGTGGGATTATCGTTCTTCCCGCTTCTCGTCCTGAACTTTTGCTCTCCACTACCGCCCAAAGTCGCGATTGGTCACCAATTCTTTTACCTCCCCCAAATTCACCGAGGTTCTTGTTGTGACAATGTCTGGTGAAAAGCGCCCTGCTCCAGAAGGCTTTGGGACCTCACACCAGCTCGTGGTCAAGCGGAATAAGGCCGCCGAAAACGCAGGAACAGAGCTCGTGAAGGGCTCTTCCCAAAATGGAGCTCTTATTCAATCTGTATGCGCTGGGTTCACCCCAAAAGGAATTTTACGGAAGATCCAGCTAATTCGAGTCTACAGGTTCCTCGCACGAGTGGTTTAGACGCTCCTATCATGGAGCTCACAGGTGAGATACTGTCGCCAATCCGTTGCTCTCCACGCGCTAATAGAAGGTACCTACTAGGCCACTCTGGTGAAGTATTTTCAGTTCGATTTGACCCTACCGCGCAACATATCGCATCCGGATCTATGGATCGTTCTATTTGTATGTCTCGTCTTTGGGAATACGACCGCTGGATACATTACTGATCGAGGTTTGTTGAATAGTGCTGTGGAATACATATGGACAATGCGAAAACTACGGCCAATTGACAGGACACCGGGGAGCTGTGTTGGATCTTCAGTGGTCGCGCGATTCGCGGGCACTGTTCTCCGCGTCTGCAGACATGACCCTCGGAAGCTGGGATGTTGAGACTGGAGCACGAGTACGCCGTCACGTGGGCCATGAAGAGATCATCAACTGCCTCGATATCAGCAAAAGAGGACAAGAGCTTCTGGTCAGTGGTAGTGATGATGGCTGTATTGGCATCTGGGATCCTCGGCAGAAGGATGCTCTGGACTACCTCCAAACCGAACTCCCCATCACCGCCGTGGCATTGTCCGAAGCGGGCAATGAAATCTACAGTGGAGGTATTGACAACACAATCCACGCCTGGGATCTTCGAAAGAAGGCAATCGTCTACTCCATGGCCGGACACACAGATACCATCACCTCGCTACAAATCTCGCCAGATTCACAGACTTTGCTGTCGAACTCTCATGACTCTACCGTTCGCACATGGGACATTCGTCCCTTCGCCCCTACCAACCGGCAGGTAAAGACCTACGATGGCGCTCCTGTCGGACTAGAGAAGAACCTCATCCGTGCCAGCTGGGATCCTAAGGGTGAGAAGATTGCTGCAGGCAGTGGTGATCGAAGTGTGGTTGTTTGGGATGTCAAGACTGGGAAATTGATGTACAAGCTTCCTGGTCATAAGGGCACTGTCAATGACGTGCGCTTCTCTCCTAATGATGAGCCAATCAGTGAGTGGATCACCCCCTTTAGAAGAAAACCCAGAATTTCTAACATTCATAGTCGTTTCTTGTTCCTCCGATCGAAACCTGGTCCTTGGAGAGCTAGGCAAATAAGCATAAGTGATATTAATGTTTTAATGAAGATCAGCGGGCGTCAAATTCATTTTTCAAAACATGCCATGTGTTCCCGATCTGGACGCTTGTGCTAGCAATAGAAATCGCTAGTTGTCCGGGTATATATCCGGATCTATGAATTGTACAATAAGAACTAAATTTTCAAAGTAATCTTTTGAATATTTCTGTTTATACGGTATGTTTGACATGGATCTGAATATCCTAGTTCAAGATAATATTGAAAACCTGATTATGATGCCTTATTCCTATACTGACGGAAGTCAGTAGTAGACCGCCAGTATATCCATGGTTCTCTGGTTGGATTAACTCCATCTGAACACTCCAGGGCTTCTTCTTTTCATCATGGCTGAGCCTAATCGCATCCCATCAGAGGTCGAAAATGGGTCCACACGAATGCAAACCTTCAGTTTGGTCGTGGTTCCTCTCAGTATCGCTTGTATGACACATATACACGCAGCCCAAATCCCTTACTAACTCTTTCGTAGTACTCATCGTCAGCTTGGCAGGATGTCACGCCGCAAGGTGGGCCATGATAGTATTCGTAACATTGTTGATCATCTGCCAAGTATATTGTTTTTGGCACCATCGGTCTGCTTCCAGGGTTGCTACATGTTAGGGGAAAGGAGAGACAGAAGTATAGTATATTATTACTTCTGCTCAATCTCTTGATGAGAAACGGGCATTATCTTAGATGATTCCGCATTGTTTCTTATTTCTATTTGCTACAATTTAGACTTAAGTTTCTCAGGGCTTCATGTTTTCGAATAAATATATATATATATAACTTTTACCTATATTTGTACTTGGTTCATAATCAGTATACACTGCATACTGTAGAACATTATTTCCGGGACAGGAGCGACTCTTACCTTAATTCTTCCTTGACTCTTTGATTCTTCTTTTCTTTCTTGACTCAACTCACTTGCAACTTTCAAGATGCCTGCTCCATCAAAATATACTCTCGGAGTCCCCTACTACTCCCAGGTGGAGTTTATCACCGATACCACCGCCACGTACCGCATGCTCTACTTCGTCCGTAATGTCGAGCCAGAACAGGAAAAGTGGTACTGGCGCGTTTATACATGCTGTCTCGTCATTGTGGCAATTGATTACATCTGTGAGACTTGAGATGCTGCTTATGCTTGAGAGCTTCGTTGCTAATCTCTGCAACATAGGTCGGTGTGTCCACATTACCAGCACCCTACGTTATACTCTGTTAGTTCTCCAGGCTTCCATTCTATGCCTACAATTGTGCTGCCTATCCAGAGCAGTTTTGGCACGCTAGCGTGAATCAGGGAATCCGAAAGACCGTGGTTACAATATCTTCGTTGGACCTGCGTACATGGTCACTCTACCACCAGTGGACCATGATCTGGATGTTCAAGGACAATTCAACAATTCTTATGATGCTCACCTCTTCAAGTACAGAGAGAAGCTCTCTCATGGTGGATAAAGGGAATGGCAAGTTGAAAGTTGAAATAACCCTGTGTTCTCGATGCATTTTCTATTACTGACATATGAGCTTATAGTTTGGTCTTGATTGAGGAATGCTAAGCAGGAAATATACTTGAGGCGGCTGCTTACATTATGGCTTTATACATGTATACATATATCCTGGGCAAGCCGGATTTTGATGAGAGAAAGCAAATGGTATCCTCAAAGCGGTTTTTTGAGTTTCCAGGTTTCTATAGTACCACATAGTTAAAGGTCTACCTCTCCCATATGATGCTGGGTTCCAGCACATTCGGTCATCTGCAAAGCAATTTCCCCTAATGCAGAAGCATATGAATATAATCAAGAACTGGCGAGTTCAAAAGAAGCTCTACAAGGATTTAAGGAGAGCATGGCCAATCATTATCCTTAGGGGTGATCAGGTCCAACTCTGAGATACTCAGAAGTCACAGCTGAAGTAACAGAAGAGATATAATCAAGCTCTATATTCGATCTAGTTCGATCTGAGATATCATATCATATGGCATCTGTGAATTTTAAGACATTTTGTAAATTATATTCCCACTGTGTAGTTTCGTATGGTTAGTTGTCTAGCTATACTCTATAGCATGCTTCATAATAGGCGGTTTACTGAGCAAAATAATATATCATACCTTTACTAGTTTGGCCATACTTCCTTCCACCAGTATGATCCTAGATATGTATAGTTCGTTCTACAGCCAGAATGGCTATTTTGACCTTTATGGCATATTTTAGCTAATAGATCATATATACATGTTATATAGTTTATTATTTAAAACAATAAATAAAGTATTACCTACTAAAATTATAGATATTTTCCTATTAGTTGTAGTATAGGGATGATGCAATAAGCGGGCCAAAAAAAAAAAGATTCCCCAGAGAGGCTTATCTGGCCGAATCCCCGATCTTCCCACTCCACAGGGCCGTTCCAAAATCTTCTAAGAGGTCTTAAATAGCCATCTGGCGCCCATGACCCCTACGGTGAGATCTGCTCGAAGCGCACGCGACGGAGGTAATGTTCAACCTCCGCTCCGCCTGGATGGTGGTGTGGGCCATCTTGTTATGGCTCACCGTTGTTCATGGCATGCGAGACAGTCAAGTAAAGGAACTAAGGTATAGCTACTACTCCTCCTCTTCAAAGGTCCAAAACTAATGCACCTCTGTTCTGCAGACAAGAAACTGAGCGAATGTTCTTCCATGGCTTCGAGAACTACCTCCAATACGCGTTCCCCGAAGACGAATTACGTGCCCTAACATGTGGCCCTCTTGTGCGCGACGAGAAAAATCCGGAGAATAATGATGTGCTGGGGAATTATTCTCTGACCTTGATTGACAGCTTATCGACCCTGGCCATCCTGTCCTCGAGCCCGGACAGTGGGGAGCGAGCCTTGGCGCATTTCCAGGATGGTGTCGAGAGCTTTGTTAGGCTATATGGTGACGGTTCGGACGGCCCTGCTGGTCAGGGTGAGAGGTCGAGGGGATTTGATCTTGACAGCAAGGTACAATTGTTTGAAACTGTGATTCGGGGACTAGGTATGATTCCTTTTCTTTCATGGCTTATCTGTCACAATTGTTCGATTTCCTACTTTTTTATATCCTACTACTAACGTGTTTCAGGTGGATTGCTCAGTGCCCATCTTTTCGCCATTGGTGAGCTACCAATTACCGGATACGAGCCAGCAGAACAGGAAGCTGCCTTCGCCAGTGCATGGGATAAAAGTATGTTTGTCAAAAGTGACCACGGCATTCGGTGGGACAATGGATTTGTCTATGATGGCCAGCTGCTTCGGCTTGCGGTGGATCTAGCCCATCGTTTGCTCCCTGCATTCTATACAGAGACTGGCCTTCCTTACCCTCGGGTCAACCTGCGCCACGGGATCCCATTCTACGAGAATGCACCTTTAAATTCCAACTTCCGCAATGCCGGTGGCAAGCGCAAATCCAAAAATGCGTCATCGGAGCCCGCCGAGACTTGTAGCGCCGGCGCAGGCAGTCTCGTCCTTGAACTAACCGTCTTGAGTCGACTCACCGGTGACGGGCGGTATGAGGACTTGGGTAAAAGGGCATTCTGGGCAGTCTGGAATCGCCGGAGTGATATCGGACTGCTTGGATTTGGCATTGATGTCGAGTCGGGGAAATGGGTGGGACCCTGGGCCGGAGTAAGTAGGAATTCCATTTTTACGAGTACAAACATAAGCTAACTGTTAACAGATCGGCGCTGGAATTGACAGCTTCTATGAGTATGCCGTCAAAGCGTATATTCTCCTGTCTGAGGGTGACCGTCTGTCTTTCAACTTGGACAGCCCTTGGGCAGCATTGGACTCATACTATGCTCCTCTGACGGACTACCAGCATACCGCTGAGGCCTTCCGGCAAGTCTGGGAAGAATCGCATACCGCAATCAATCGCCACTTATTCCGAGACGAAGGTTATCAACATCCTCACCTTATTGTAGGGGATGTGACCACCGGTGCCACACGAGCTTTTTGGATCGATAGCCTAAGCGCCTTCTATCCGGGGGTTCTTGCACTGGATGGAAAGCTAGATGAAGCTATCCAGATTCATCTGCTGACGACCGCCATTTGGACACGCTACTCGGGCATTCCTGAGCGGTGGAACGTGGCTACTGGTGACATCGACAACGGTATGCCATGGTATGGAGGTCGGCCCGAGTTCATCGAATCCAACTACTACATTTATCGGGCAACTCAAGATCCTTGGTATCTGCATGTCGGAGAGATGGTTCTCAGCGACCTCAGGCGGCGTTGCTGGACCAAGTGTGGCTGGGCTGGTATTCGGAATGTTCTGACTGGAGAGCTTATTGACCGGATGGAGAGTTTCTTCATTGGAGAGACTGCCAAATACCTCTACCTGCTATTTGACCAAGACCATCCATTGAACACTGTCGAAGCCCCCTGGGTCTTTAACACAGAGGGCCATCCTCTCATCATCCCGAAAAAAACGACATCCGCGCCTCGCCAGCAAACTCCGCCTAAAGGCCAGGACGCTGCTGTGGGAGTATGTCAAATTATTCCCTCTCCATTCTTCGGCGTGTCTTCCACTGCATCCCGCTCAGACATTTTCCATGCTGCCACCTTAGCACGCCTAGATCTGATGCCTGATCGAAGAGGGGCTGCGAGTCCTATCTTGGAAAACTCACCTGGACATCACAGTGTGTTTGTGTCTGATCTTACATCACCAACCAATTACACATTCTACCCGTGGACACTTCCGCCTCAGCTGGTCCCATTTGACGCCACCAGTGCGCCTATGGCCGTTCGTCCCACGCTCGACATCTCATTCCCCTCACTCCCAGGCGGCGTAAACATGGGACCTGGGGCACTGGAACGTGTCCGAGATGGGGTACTTGTAAAAACAATTGGAGGACTTCGGTTGAGCATGGTTCAGGATGTGAGGTTGGACACCCCCACGCCCACGACTGGTGAGGAGGAAGACGGTTACCGGGTGCAGGTGATCAACAATGTGCCATTAGGCAAAGATGAGAAGGTATATCTCTCTCGCCAAATCACCTTTGATGTCGTCGATCCGTATGATCCGAACTTCACCCGTGTTCGCGACAATGCCATGCTTGACCTCGTCATTGACGTTCTCCCAGAGCCCTCTCGCCGACGTAATGATTCGGCTCATCCACGAGATGAACAACCTCAACCAGAAAATCCTCACCCACCAGAGCCCCGTCTCGGAGGCCACAGCCCCGCCTCTTCGGTCGACGATGCCGCAATTGTTGACTCCCCGGACTCGACCGTAAGAGCCATGCTATCGTCTCTGGTGAATTCGGTGTCGTCTTTGCTTCACAGCGAACAGACCGAACCTGCTCCGCTCAGGTTGAGTCTACCTGCTGCTATCTCTACAGGCATTGGGGCCAGCCCGCTTCCGGATGTTGAAGATGCAGTTACCATGTCCTTGTTCGGCAGCCCATCTAAAGATCGCCTGTCGTGGTCAAGTATTTACTTCGCCGGCGATCTCTGCGATGATGGAATTCCCCGTGAGGTCGCCCATAATCACGAAGTCCTTGTTATCAAGCGTGGCGGCTGCACCTTCTCGGAAAAGCTCCGCAATATCCCAGCATACCGACCAACGCGATCGGCGCTGAAGCTAATTGTCGTCGTCTCATACGACGACATGCCACCATACGGCTTCCGTGGACAAAAGAAAGAGTCAACGAACCAGCCCGGATCTCGGTCTGGGCTCGCCGCCGTCCGTGCCGAATCCACTCTTATCCGTCCACACCTCGACGAAGCTCAAATGACAGCCAGCGGCATTCCACGAAATTACCTCATCAGCATGGTCATGGTGGGTGGCGGAGAGGAAACATACGAACTCCTGCGCCATGCAAGCGGCATCGGAGTCAAGAGACGATATAGCATGCGCTCTCGCGGCGTCCCAATCACGAATTTACACATTGTTTGAAATATTCATTTGAAATATTCACAGAGATATCTTATACCCTTTTGGAAGACTGTTGGATCATTTGTGGCGAGCCTGTTTTTATGTTTGATGTACATAGGTTTTAAGACTTGAATATAGTCAAAACTCCAGTAATTGAATTGATTCATTTGACAACCTAGTTCTATATAAAACTCACACTCAATTCAAAGCCTCGACTTACTTTTCATCTCCACTTGAACCTTTCTCCAAGACTCAACTGCCCTTCTAGCCGCCATCTCAGGACTAACCCTCCCCTCGTTCATTCGCCGATCAAACACCTCCATAGAAACCCACCCTTCAAACCCAACCTCAACAATCCACGCCCTAGCAATCTCAACAACAGGCAAATACGCCCCCAACTCAACCTCCAAAGGAAAAGGCCTCGCATGCTTGGACCAAGTAAACTCCTTCGCCTCACCGGGCAAGGCCCACGGATGTGCCAGTGAATAAGGCGGTTCAAACCGCTCCGCATCAGAAAGCTGCACATAGAAAATCTTCTCCAATGGACAATCCCTCACAAACCTCCTTAGCGAATCCCGCAATTTCGTCTCCGCATCCATCTGCATCCCCGTCGAAGAAGCATTATCCCCCCATAACCGCGTCCCTTCATGGAATGTATCCAAACACAGTCCAAAATTTGGACGGTCGACCCGCTGCACGATTGACAGTGCGGTTTCCCAGGTTGAGCAATTTGTTCCCCATGACAAAGGTTCATAGGCGATTGATATTATTGGCTTTATGGAGCTGGCTAGATCAGCTAGCTGCTGGAGGTCTGAGATGATTGTCTTTTCATCGCGTGTACAGTCCGGAGTGTAGATTGATGGGACTTGGAGGTATGGTGCATGTAACAGACGGGCTAGTTCAAGCCAGTGTTGGGCAAGTGCGAGTCTTTCTTCTACGGGGGTTGTTGAGCCCTCGTAGTTTTCGAAGGGTGCTAGAGAGAGAACTTGAAGGTTTGTTTCCAGGCAGAGGGTGTAGATCTTTTGGGCTCCAGCTTGGATGGAGATCTTTTGGGCTTTGCTATAGATAAGCAGGTCATTGTAGACTATTTCGATTCCTGTAATGCCGGCTTGGGATGCGGCGCGGATTTTGTGGTCGAGGGTGTGGCCTGGGTATTGACTCAGGGATACGCTAGAAATTGCTAGTTTATTGGCCATTTTTGGTTGAATATGACAATCTTCAAGTTAGAGACTTGATATATATTCAAATGACGGAACTTAGTTTCCGGTATATAGGCATATATTCGGTCATTAATGACCGAGTATCATTTGTTGATACTAATTTCCCAAATAGTGTTATATTAATTTGAAACTATTTTTTAAAAAGATCCAAAGGGGGTAAGGGCTATTTAGGACATTGGAATATATAGTCCCTTAAATATTCTTGATTCGGGGAATCAAGATACATGATCTAATTGGAGTATATAGCTCACGGCCCGACTACCTCGCTCAGGCCTTGAAAGATGTCAACGTGGTTTCATTTCCTAAACAGTTTGGTAACCATACTAGATCATCCTTGGTCTTAAATTGCCAATACGATGAGAATCCCTGCATTTTCTAGGCATTTTTGTAAATTACGACCATTCATATTATCCGGCTTGGCTCGAATGTTATGAGTATCGCGAGACCCGGGTGGTTTGTCTTTCAATATTACGGTCACAATATCTACAGAGCTTTGGCCTGGGCTGATTATTTCCTTCGTATACAGTTTCATTCTAATATACTTTGTGGACAATTCCCTATAGACTATATCTTCGAATGTGAAAGGAGTATGCCAAGGCTGGTTCTCAATACGGAGTCCTCCGTGTCTTTCTCAACTCTTTAGTCGCTCTTTTAAAAAGGACCAGCTCGTAAGGTGTATAGACTCTATTCCCATTAAAGTCAGCCATGTTATATTATACAGAACAATGATAAAGCACAATAGCTCCCTGTTATATGAAGGACTAGTATAGAGAGCCAGATAGTGAGTTTGATTGAAGACCTTTGGGTGAGGATATAATACTAGCTCATCAAGTATATGGTTTGTATGGCTCTATTTTATAATGAAATATTCAAGAGGCTTCATTGCCAATATACATAGGTTCAAAATTCACATGGAAAATAGTATGTAGATCTTGATGGTAAGGCGCAATCGGAGCTAGGCTTCTACATACTTACTCTTGACTCATTCCCTGCTATCCATGGGATCTCTTCTCATCTCCCTTCATCATCTATATATACATAAAAGTAACCACCAAATCACCATCATCAGAAATAATGGTCTCCAATCCAACTCTCAAACCCGCAGAAAGACACACCAAACCCCTCCCAACACCCACCCCGCCAACCACGAAGTCACCTCAATACCCAAGATATCTCTACTTCGCCTACGGCTCCAACCTCTCTCCAGCCCAAATGAAATCCCGCTGCCGCGTAAACCCCACCCATTCTGCCACCCCACTAGCAATCGCAACCCTCCCAAATTGGCGCTGGTTAATATGCGAAGCGGGCTACGCAAACGTTCTTCCACCACCGGGTCTACGCGTCGAAAATCAAGACTCCGAGACTGCGCATAAGATCCCCGTTTCCGGAACTGAGGGCGCAGTCTACGGGGTTCTTTACCAAATGGATGTTGGCGATGAGGGGATTCTGGATGGTTATGAAGGTGTTGATAGATGTGCTGCTAGTGCAAAGGCTGCGGATGGTGTGCCCATTTCCGTTAGGCCTAGAGTGCAGGGACATGGGTCTTATAATAAGTGGTTTGTCGAGGCAGATGTTGTGAAGTGGTTGGATGGGGCAGGGGAGATTAGGGGACTTGGGGATAAAGAGAAGGTACCGGTTCTGGTTTATGTTGATGAGAATTGTGTTAGGCTGGCTAAGCCAAAGTTTGAGTATATTGCGAGGATGAATCGGGCTATTCGAGAGTCTGTGGATTTGGGGGTTCCCATGGAATGGGTGGAGGAAGTTATGAGGAAGTTTATTCCTAGAACTACCTAAATAGGAAATGAGTAGATTGATAAGATATAGAACCTTCCAAGGTTAAAACATTGGAAGTATCCATGGATATTGTTGGTCACGTCATCAATTGCTAGAAAGCTACTCTAAAAGCAAATATACCAGTCTATACACATATCAAGTTGCATTGATGAAAGCTATTTGTCTATATTGGATATTATCAGGACTCTGCGCCAGTGGCGGGTGCCGTCGACCAGCGAAACGAGGCTCCAGACTCGAGGTTCGAGTAAATTGTTTGCCCGGAGCGGGTGACGCCGCAATATCGGGTGTAATCGGACTTTTGAAAGGATGGGGTCATTATAATTCGGCAGTTGAGATTTGTCGCAGAATGAATCTTTTTTTTGAGGCGGTGTGTATAATTAAGCCTGACCAGACAGGAGAGTGTAAACTGGCGCGGGGAGCTTGTCGCGTCCGTGAAGGAACTCAAGCTCGAGGAGGAAGAGGAAACCGAGGAGCTCGCCGCCCATCTTCTGGATCAGCTCACCACCGGCCTTGGCAGAGCCACCTAAAAATAGTGTATTAGTATATATGAAGTATCCAACAGGAGACTCGTGTAACATACCAGTAGCAATAATGTCATCAATCACAAGGACTTTCTGGCCGGGCTTGATGGAGTCGGACTGCATCTGGAAGAAATCCTGGCCATACTCCTTCTCGTAGCCCTGGGTCTCGCAAGGACCGGGGAGCTTGCCCTGCTTGCGCACGGGGACGAAGCTGGCACCCAGGCGCAAAGCCAGACTGGGACCCATCAAGAAGCCACGGGCCTCGAGGCCAACAATGACATCGGGCTTCTGGCCACCGTAGTTGGCAATGATTTGAAGTTCCAGGGAGCGAATCAGGGCCTCGTGGAGAGTAGGATCGGCGAAGATGGGCAGGATATCTTCAAACAAAATTCCCGGGGAGGGGAAATCCGGGAATTGGCGTAGAGCGCCGCGCAATCTTACCTTAAGACTGGCGAGTTCGGCGGCGCTGGTGGCATCGGAGGCGGGGAGTCCGACTTTGGAGGCATCTGGGAGAGTGGAGGACATGATGAGAAGGGAAGAGAAGAAGAGGGGGAAAGAGGCTTAGAAAAGGATAAAAAACAGAAAATCTTTAAGAGGGGAAAAAAAAAAAAAGGAAATGGTAAAATTACAGTTGATAAGCAGATAATGGGTTTTTTGCCCCTCATGAGGTCTAGATCATTACGGGTTTTTTTGGTTTTTTTTAGTTTTAGTTTTTGTATATCATTTTTATATCTTTGATCTGTTATATAGTTATTGTATTTATATACATATATACGTACTTTAGATCTAATTGATGTATTTATATCCTTTGATATATGTTCTTAGATATACATATCAAAATCTATTATCAAAATCTCAGATAAAATACCTATCACGCAATGCTTCCTTCTAGAACACAAAACTAATACTTACTAGTTCTATTATACTTACTATACTCATACGTAGTTCTTAGATATGGCCCAACCCGGTTGGGATCTGCGAGACCCTAATTGATTAGCCCCGTAAAACTTAGTGCTCAGTCCCCCCCATCGTCAGGGACGAATTGTGTCGCAAACTGATACCACTCACTCGTCATCCCTCTGTGTTCCGGTTCCCCATGAGCCTAGACCGTTAGACTGCAACCTGTAGTCTATGGTAACAAAGACAGGCAACTATAAGCCAAACTATATGTATCGTTATAAATGACTTACGCCCAGACCGGGGATTTAGTATTGGATCAGACCATCTCAACACCCTGTAGACTTGACACACCGTACATTACAGTCTAGTCCTGGCCAATGGAATGTCTTGGGCCACGACGTGATCTGAAACTTGTCACTGTGGCTTTACTGGAAACGTACATGCGTGGTGCATACCGGGATGTCTGTTGTGCAGATAGTGGGGAATTTGTCCGTCTGTGTAATTGCAGAATTGATTCGGAGGTGGAGGGAAACAAAAGTACGAGGGAATAAAAAATATTCCCCAATAAGAGAAAGGGGTAAATAAATAAAAAAATGGACTTTATTACTTGTACTATGTATACTCCCCGTATGTATATCATAGCTCCAAAATAATAAAGAGAGGAAAAAAAAGAAATCTCAGGTTTGGTTTTTAGGAATAGCCGAACGCGGGGGTCGAACCCGCAGCCTTAAGATTAAGAGTCTTACGCTCTACCGATTGAGCTAGCCCGGCCGGGCTGTTGAAAGAGGCTGCAATATAATGCTACATAAGCCTATAACAGTCCTGGGCATAGTTTAATTGGGCAGTAGTTAACTATATAGTTGGATTAGCCTATAGATTATTATACAAACTAATAATAGTATTCTTGATTTTGCTTCGTCTATCATCTACATATCTTGATTAGGACCCTTTTTCATGGCATATATATAGTTTGTCTTGGACTAACTTGAATGATATATATATAATCTATGTGGTACTAAACCATCAACTAAGGAATGTTGATTCCATAAAACTGCGTATATGCGTTGATATACACCATCTATCACATAAAAGCCAGAGCAAATACCGTGGAATTAACTAAAAGAATGATATGTTTGGAGAAATCTCCTTGAATACTCCCCAGACAGGTTGACTGTACTGACTCAGTATCTCACTAGACCTTTCAAGGGTTATCTGAGACTACAAACTCTCACTGTACATTCTAGTACCTATATCCAAATACTCCATTCAATTGTAAACAAGATAGATATATGTACTCCCATGTATGTTATACATCAAAGTATACTCGGTCTTGGCCAAAATCCTAAAATGGGATAGCCCTTCACATGACCAGCACAGACCACCTCGCTTCAAGTTTTTCCGGCCACCCCCGTAGCTATAAATCCACCGGTTTTCCTCTTTTCCATCTCTCATGCTTTTGAAGTTTGAGCCTCGACAGGCTACTTCCATCTCAGATTAATTCTTTCTGAAACCCTGTAATACATTTGATTATGTCACCTGCCGTGATCACCGACATTCAGCCGGATCTGCATCATGACCAGCTCGAGGCCGTGGGCAAAGCCTTCGATGCGCTCCTACTAACCGTGTACCAGCTGACTCACAGACAAAATGAGCTGTTACAGCACATGGATAATGTCTTCAAAGAGGTAAATACAAACCCCCTCTCTCTTCCTCTCCATAACCCGGGTCTCGCATGACGAAGAAAAGCTCTAGATCAGGAGTCACTTTTGTGGCGATGACGGATTAACATGTATTATCTGATTGAGACCATGACTGCCTTGCTGTTATGAAATTGACAAGACGAACATTGCTAACTTTGTATCTTGCAGTACACAAATGTGATAGAAATTCTGCCTCCTCAAGATAGACATCATGCACAGGACGTTCAATTCAAACTGTTTGCTCAGCAGGAAGAATATCGTCAGGGCCTCGTACACAGCAAGCCTCGAGTGGAGGAACAACCGTTGAATTCCATGGATGTAATCAAGACCCTCGTTGCGCATCAAAATGTAGACGAGAATACTTTCTCGGCCATCAAGAATGGAGTGAAAGGATGCAAATCTCTGCTCCGTTCTCAAGATAACCTCTCTCAAATATCCTCCAACTCGTGCATCCTCGCGCAAGCGCCGGCTCCAGCAATCGCGCTGGAGAAGGACTTCACAACGAATGGCACCCAGGGAAATCTGCTATGTCCATTCTCCAAACCGAATAAGATGAAGAGTGAAAATGGCAGCGAGACCCCCAGTGGGAAAAACTCTGCGCCGAAGATCCAGATCGAAGCCACCTGCGGCCACGACCACCTGGATCCTATCAGGGCCGAACAAGACGAACGACGCTCTAGCCACACCCCATCAGCCCCGTCGTCAAAAGGAGCATGCCCCGTATCCCGATGCCCAATCCGATTCCTCGATCAACACTCGCCCGAAGAAATTGCTGAATACGTCGAACGACACAAACATGAGATTCCCCGCAGCCACGCAATATGCGTCAAGCGCTATCAACGAAACCCGCAGGACATGAGACAACTGGACGCCAAATACGGTGGCCTGACCAGCATGATCGCTGGCTTAGGTGTCAAGCACCAAGCCTTCCTCCCCGACCGTCAGACCAAGGGCGAAGGCCATTCCTCTCATTCTGCGTCGACGGAACGGGTTGAGAAATGGGCCGACAACGTGGACCCCAACACGCCCAGCGCCGAGATTGAGGAGAATAACGAGGAGGATATGAATGAGGATGATAACCGTCAGAGCCATTTTGACCGCCCCCTCCGTGAAGTCCGCGTGGGTGAATCCCCAAGCAGGCCTTGGGGCATTTCAGTGCCTGTCACCCATCTACCTCCCGCCTCAGCGCCGTTCTCTGGCTCAGCGTCTATCCCCACATCCCCCGATCCTCAAACCGACAAATATGATAAACCCACCGATGCCAACGTCCTCGATGCTAAGCCTGCCGGTGGCTGTCCATTCGGCCACGGTAAACCAAAGCCCGAAGCCCCAAAGCCCGAAATGCAAATACACGGCCCTGGTGAAAGGCCGAAGGACAAAAATGTTGCTACACCAGAGAAACCTGGTTGTCCATTTGGCCACGATAAACCAAAGGCCGAAGCTGCAAAGCCTGAAACCGAGGCACGCCGGAGTGGTGACTTGCCCAAGACCTGGCCCAAGGAGCAGGTCGTTACAGAGCAAGCAGCTGCTCCCCAGGCCGCTCCTCATACTCCAACTGCTCCTGTGAGCGACGACCCGACTACTAAACCTGACATTCCATTCTCAATCCCTTCCCACGTCACCTTCAATGGCCCTGTCTTCTTCGGGTACTCCGCCGAGGAGACTGCCAACCTATTGCAGCAGCTCGGTAACCAAGGCAAATCATGACCGCAAAGAATCATATTCTGTATAGTATGTTTATGGAAGGCGCTCTTAATGCATCACGACGAAACGACTTGATTTTTTTTTTTTTTTTTAGCAAGCATTGTGTATTATACCAATTGAATTGATACAATTTCCGATATAAGAACTACAATAATAAATAAGATTCATAAAAGAATGACTTCATCGGGGAGCATCGTCGCTCTCCGAGGGAAACTCACAGAGCGGGGCACCTTTCGTTATCATCACCTTATATATAACTTCCATCCTCCCCCAATGCTGCGAATTACCCCTCGTCTTCTATCTCTATCTCGTATCCTCCGTCCTACAATTCCACCATCCCAATTCCCTACTATAATGTCTGCCAACATGTCCATCATCTCTGCTAAGGATGCCTGCCCTCGTAAGTCAAGCTATCCTCGCCTGTCTCTTTAGACAGTGAAAGCTGCCTCAATCCTAGAAAGGAAACAAACAAAGAGCAATATCTAACTGATCTCTCTTGTAGCTGCCGGCCCTTACGTACGTCGCCCTTCCCTCCATCTGCATCTCCATCTCCGAGAGCTACCCCTCCACACCGGACCAATCCACTCCAAGACATACATCACCCATTCCACCCCTACACATATTGTATAGACTATAAAAGAAACCACCTAACAGACCAAAAACAGTCCCAGGCCATCCGCGCCAACGGCCAGATCTTCGTCTCCGGCCAGATTCCCGCCGATGCTTCCGCCAACTTGATCGAGGGCAACATCGGTGCCAAGACACAGGTTTGCTGCGATAACATCAAGGCTATCCTGACCGCCGCTGGTTCCAGCGTGGACAAGATTGTCAAGGTCAATGTATGTCTTATCCCCCAGCCTTGTTATTATGGTGTTTCTGGTTTTGGCTTTGCCAGGGAGAAGTATACACAAGTTATGAGAAAAGAGGACGCTTTGCTGATCTTGATTTCTTTCCTAGGTCTTCCTCACTGATATGGCCAACTTCGCTGAGATGAACGCTACTTACGAGAAGTTCTTCGTTCACAAGCCTGCTCGTAGCTGTGTTGCTGTTCACCAGCTGCCTAAGGGTGTGCCTGTTGAGATTGAGTGCATTGCTCTGGAGTAGATTATTTAGTCTATTCAAGTCAATGAAAAACAATATAAAAAAACAGTTTAGAATAAGAATGAGATTGAATTCGATCGAATTATGTTGCAGAAATCCTCGGGAAGATCTCCATCTTAATTATTTCCATCTCCGATCTCATTTCTCTCGAACATACATGCGCAAGTACAAGCAGATGCCAAATTGGGAATCATAAGAGTCAAGGGTACATGCATAATGAGATAGAATGCAAGAGACGAAGGAAATTGAGAAGAACACAACATTGCTGGCTTGATGTGTAAGCAAGGAAAAATAACAGTTAGAAGGTACCGGAGCTTGATAGACAGGTGTACATTCACCTTGCGCGGGGAATGATACCACTCATGCGGCTTCCAGCACCGGCCATCAAGCTTTGCTTTACGATAGCATCGGCAGCCGCAGCGGCAGCAAGTCTTTCCTTCTGACGGCTACGATCACGGAGGTAGCCGGCAGCTTCGGGGCGCATGCGAAGAATGCGCAGGATCATGTCGTCATTAGGATCAGCCTGTGCCTCCCGTCGCTTCTCTTCCTTGGCCTTCTTCATAGTGCCTAGGTTACGGGAAAGCATGATGCTCTTGGCACGATGGGCAGCAGGAAGACCCAAACCGCCGTAGCCGGCGCCTGTGGCGCCGAGGTGGGCAGGCGCGGAAGTGCGATTGCGGTTCGCTTGTTGGCGGTTGACAGTCGCCGAGGCCATGCGTTCGGAGGTGCGAATGAGATGCTCCGTGGGTTCGAAGTAGAAGAAATTCAGAGACTGGATTTCGTGGTATTTGGGTGATTTCAGGATATCGATTGGGACGCCATTTGCTTCGCCGGTTTCCTCGTCAGTCGCATGGAAGAAGTTCAATAGTAGCACGAGCCAGCGCGATACGATGTCGACTTCTTGGATTGTTAATGGCTTCTGATGGGATGGCTTATCCGATAGAGGAGGTACGAGGAGACTTTCGATAGTAGCAAGCACTTCTTTCCATAGGCGAGCCATCACCATCTTCATGGCTTCGGGTGTGAGGGTCTTGTTCATGATAGCGAAGTTGTCATTGAAGTAATTGAATAGAGGAGTAAGTGCATTTTCGACTTCTGCTGGGGTGGGCCCTGCAGGAGCTGGCTGCGCTCGGTTGCGATTCAAGAAGCTCGACACACTAGACATCGTGAGTCCGCGAGACAGAAGAGATTTTAGTGTTCGCCGGGAAAGACAGTGACCGATGTAGGCCGAAAGCTTCTCTGTGATCTTCCGAGTCATATCTCTTTCAGTTCGTTTGAGTGTACGGAAAGCCTTGCCGAAGTAGAACTGGATGTCATCTCGCTCACCCTCCATACTAACTCGGAGCAGAAGCCGACCCTGGGTATCCAAGTCGAGCCAATACTCTCTTGGCAAGAAGTCACTGAAGTGCACAGGATCCAACTTGATTGATGTGCGACCAACGTAGTCGTGGTCGCCCACTGCATCCCAGTCCCAGATGGTAGCGATGATATTCAGAGGGCCCTGTGTGGTGAGATCTACTGCATCCTCCCACCGGGGATTAAGATTATTGTAGATGATGCGGGTTTTGGCAATTCGTTTCTGATATTCGTCCGTCAAGACGACATATGGATCACTGCCACCACCAATGTCGCATGCTTTCAAGTCCTCTGCCTCCACTACCTTGATTGTAAAGACATAGGTGGTAGATTTGCGGACCTTCTTGAGCTGCGGTGGAGTATTTCTTGCAATGACTTCGGCGCATGCGTCGACATTGATACCATGTTCGAGTTTGTCCAGTTGAGCAAGTGCATACTCAATGTTGTTCAGTTTCACCAGGGACTATGGAAAATGTTAGCCGCAATTTTCACGCAGTTGAAATAAAGACATACCTCTGACGAGAATTGGAATGGTTCGATTTTATCCTTATTCGTCCAGGTGTCTTTGGCGAACTGCATCAGTTTTTCCTGGGTGGTTTGATTCAATGCTGCCTCTTGCTCGGGGGTGAGACGATCCATCTCCCGCGTGAACATCTTCTCCAAGGAGTCACAGTACGTCGCCACACCTTTCCCAATCGAATTAGAGAGATGGGTCATGAATTTTGCGTATTGAAGATCATCGTCCCACTCCAGTTGCACCAAGTTTTCAACAACTTGGTTGAAAGATCGGAAAATGTCAATAACTGACACACTGTGACGATCGTCTTCAGGCGCGAGCTCTGTCGCTCCATCTGCACGAACGGTGAATGCATCTTGTCTTGTGGCTTGGCTAACCCAATCCATGATCTTTTGGTCAGTTAGACGAAGCCATCTCCAGACGAAGTCCTGAAGGAGAGCCTCCACGTGGAATGGGAAGGGAGCACTGAAGTGAGTCAGCTAATTGCGTATGAACAGCAGGGAAGTCCAGGAGAGCATACTCCTCATGGGTATTATGGAATAACCGTCTGACAGTAGCGAGCTGCTTATACAGGTCGAAGCCATCTTCGATAGCGATCTCCTCGCCCCTCGCTTTTGCCTGCTCAAGGATCCTGATGACCATTTCACGTGCATCCTCAGCGAACATAGGAAGTACATTGTGGCACAAGGTGGTATAGGGGTTAACACTATTTGTAAGTTAGAGGTTGACTAACAAGTGAGAAGAGAAAGGAAGAACCCACCCCATGATCTCTGGGTTATTGCGGTAGCGTTTCTGGATCTTTAACGCAAGCTTTGAGATTGCATCTCCAAGCTGAATGACATGGTCGGGGTCCCAAGCCTCTTGTTCCATGGGAATTAGTTGGCCAAGGAGGTTTTGATACTTTGTAGTTGCTTTTTGAGCAAGTCCTTCTTGCACATATGTGCTGAATCGATCGATGTCTTCAGGATCCTCAATGTAGTTGGGATCCATTTGGATATGGGCCTCAAGAATGTACATAACTGGACCGAGTGCGCGTGGCTTTGCCTCAAAGCATTCCATCATAGCCTCATATAGCTCTCGGAGTAAAGCTTCATGAAGTTTGGATAGCAGCATTTGCATCGCTTGGTGATCCTGTACGGTCCATCGTCGCCGATCAAAGACCGCGGAAGCCACAAAGCTACTGCGTTTGCGGTTCTCGCCCGAAGGCATTTCTTTCACAAAAGTAAATGCCGAGTCAAGGGTAGTAAGATCAATTTCATTGTCGACAAATTTAGCCTGAACCACCTCTAGGAACAACACGACCCGCGAGAAAGTTGGAATCCGCCAGCGGAGACATATCTCATTAAGCATTTCCGTGGACTGTTTCGAAAGCAGTTTCATTGAAGGCACGTCAGATGTGGCCTGCGAAGCTTCAAGTTCCCGGTCCCGCAGATCATGGGTCAAGGTCTGGGACAGGATAAATTTGTACAAAGACCTAGGGTCAGACGGTATGAATGTGTATGTATCGGATTCATCTGACTCTTCTAGAGACAGCCCACTCAAATCAATAGGCTGATCAATGACATAAGAAGTTCTGTCAGTCCGACCAGATGATGTCCTTGACAAGTCGGGGTTTTCGTGGGGACTCGAATTGAACTGAGGTAGAGACCCGGGGGTGCTTTTGGCTAGCTCGGGGTTGGATTGCATGATTGCGAGCATCATCTGTGAGAGATCAGGGCCTTCGCTCTTTTTCCAGTTATCATAACCCTCGTCCGACTCAAAATCCTCTCTTGATAAGGTTTTGTGTGTCTGGAGGTTTAGATGGGCTTGATAGGTCTTTAGGTCTTGCAGAGCAGCCTTCTCGGTCCAGGCGGACTTGTTTTTATCAATTTCGGATTGTGCTTGGGATATGGTCATCCCAAAGACCTTGGCCACATGTTGCACCAGGGGCATATCTTTCACATCATAACTCAATGTGCCAACACTCTCTGTTGCAGACGCAGGTCCATTCGTTTGCACGAGGTCCTGATCTTGTAAAAGAAGCTTGTTT